GTTTGCAGCTATACTGAATAAGCTATAAGTAGTCATTCACTCTTACATGCATGTTTTGAAATGTTTTTTTCCACATCCACGGGCCAAAAACATACCTGCATCACTTTTTTCCGGGGCACTGCAAGGGGCAAGGTGAATGTTTTTTTTTTAATGTTGGCTTATGGATGAATGCCAATGAGAATGAATGGCAACACAATGCACATTTTGTAAAGCTGGGGAGCTCACAGAGCACTCGCACAGGGCTTTTCCATCAATCAAGTTTTTATTTTTCTGCTTCCAGGTAGTAAAAGACATAAAACACAAATCAAGGCTTAACTTCAGCCCAAAACAAAGTTCACTGATCTTCAGCAAATAGGGTATATTGTCTCACCGACTCAAGATTGTCCCATTCACTCAGTGTCCCAGTACTTTTAACGTTTGCCTCCACAAAATGCCTCAGTGGTACTTCATACCCTTTAGCCACTTCCAGCATCTTTCCACACACCTTGTGTGTCTGGCTCTCTCAGCCAGTTAAATCCTCCAGCCTCCCTGGCTGTTACTGGTGTGGCTCTTCCACACCACCTAGCTTGGACCTCGTGAGCCTCCAGCACCCACCACTCTACACCACCACACCACCACCCCTCCAAGTTCTGGTCTGGATTCTTAATGAGGCTGCTCTCAGCCACCTGATCAGCCCAGACTGATCATTGGCAATACCTAGCCCCAAGACTGGAGATTTCATCCCACCCAGAGCTTTAAAGAAGTCTCCAGAGCTCCAGATCCCAGCTACAATTAGAAAAACCCGGAAGAATCTGAAAAGCCAGCTTCTTCTACAAAACTGTTTATATTCTGGACACTCATCCCCCCTGGCTGACAAAGTTGCCAAACTACACCGTGGCATTGCCATGCCCTGCCACAATTTACAGATTATTGTAACGTACCAATTTCAATTGTGAATGCAGCCTGAGTCTGTCCAACTTGATATGATATTATTCATAGAGTAGGTTATTATTTATTTGTATGCTTTTAATGTACTATTACACCTGCTAATAAACCTGAATAAAAGATGTGTAGTTTAAAGGAAATCTGTACTTTGAGAACATGGAGGCTGTCAAGCCAGCCAGGCGCTAGCATTTTCAGAAGTGGAAGGCAGGCTCCATATTTCCTTCTCCCACAGGTTACCTTTAAGAAAACAAGCCACTTCAAAACAAGTCTGTTAATTTTTATAATTCATTGGTAATGCTTCAAAAGAAGAAAGAATACCATTCTGCACTGTATGTTCTCAGACAATAATGTATGTTAGAAAAATTACAAGTAAAAATAAATATTTCATGAAAATGTAACATCACTGTTTTGGGTATAATTAAAGTACAAATTCACATTTAATTTTTATTTTTTTATTACAATTGACCTGTAAGCCTTTTCTGAGGCAAACCTGGTGCTGATCTTCTAAAAAATCCAATTGAGTGACTTCCATGCTGATCCAATAGCTTCAGTATTACCTGAATCACTGACCCAGATTGCGTATGCTGGTAAGGAGTTCTGGCTTCACTTGTTTTGTGGTTGTAAAATATTGATGCCAGAGAGAGACGGGTAACTGGCATTTTTGGAGGTCAGCAACGAAAGCCCCCCGTGCTTCTCTAATGACAGGCTTCCTTTAATAAAATGTACCAAAAATACACATACAAATCATATGTTTTCCCTGCAGTAATAATGAATGTCTTTTCGTGTAGCACTGATCTGAAATGGGATCAGTTTATGTTAAAATTCAGCTGATGGTTTGTAAAGAGTTCAGTATCATACACAAAATGTCATTTGTGGTTACACTGTGAAAGGTTTGTTCATGGTAGTTATGGGCTTACATCACTAAGGTGCCAAAGTGCTCACACTTTACATTAATCAATTCGGGCACATGTCAGCATTACCAAGTCACCTTATCATTCTGAGAAAAAAAGGATTACATTTTTGCCGTATTTACAAAACACTGTTCCTGAGCTGTCTAGGCAAGACCAACATTACATAGCCTCTGGCTTTTAGGAACATAATGGGTGTCACTGGAGACTGCAGAGAATATTGCTTTCAGACAGACCATATTTGGGAGACTTACAGGGTTATTCACTAAAGGATGAAGAGTTTGGAGAAGGCAGGAGCAGAGAACAATCTAGGCCAAAATAGCTGCTTTGGAAAAAGTCTCCAATTCAGCTCATTTTCCAGTTCAGCTATGTTGTCCTAGATTGTTCTCTCCTCCTGCCTTCTCCAAACTCTTCACACTTTTGTGAATAACCTGGTTAGTTCTGCTTCACACGATCTCGTTCCGTAAATGTGTCAAACTCGGTCTAAAGGAGCACTTTGATATGTGTTAACAGAACACGTACAAAACACTCTGTGTGCTTGAGTTGCTATTACTAGTTAATGGCTCCCCAAACGCAGTTTCAAAAGTGATCAAACGCAGACAAATGTGCTTGAGAAAATGCGGGACACATGTCACAGACTTTGCTGCATGCACAACTTTTCGCGCGTTTAGCACACATGCAGCACCCATTGAAATCAATAGGAATGTGCACCAAATGTCGGAAACGCCCGTAAGCGTGCTCAAACTCACGTCACTGCGACGCTATGGTGTGAACATTTGTATGAAAATTTACCAGTGAAAATCTAATGTATACTAGTAGATTTTCAGCCAAATGCTAATATGAATATCATGTCAGAACATTTGATAATACTATCAGACACTTGGCAAATGTTATGCAAAATGTTGTTTGATTTTAACATTTGATTTTGTAATGAATAGAATTCCACTACAGACAAAAATGATTGTCAATTTGATCACATTAATTGTTACAAAAATCTAACCAATGATGCAAGCGCAACTTTTTTTTGAACAAAGTTCTACTCGTGAATGGCCAGCTTTAAGTGACACTGAACTCAGGAGCTAAATCCTTAAAAATGCATTCAAGTAACTTTAACTTTTAACAAAAATGTAGCTTATTTGTGTATCACTCACCTGTAGATCCTCAAATCATCTCTGAATTGGTGCTGACACTGTCCTTCCTTCTGGAGGGTGACTACTTTTGTTCCCCATGGTCCCTGTGGGTGTTGTAAAGCAGCCACCGCTCCAAGCTCACATTTTTAAGATTTAACTACTGAGTTTAGTGTCACTTTAATAGCAATATACAGTAATAGAATCAGCAGTAATAGATTCTCCTATATTATGAAACCGGCTCTTAAGCCTTTGACTGAGAGAGTAAATGGCTTTATGAAAGGAACAGTTCTATACATTATAAAAAGTTTATGGTGCCGGGTTTGCTTTTCAGTTTTTTTAATAGCAGCCTCCACTTTTCTCTTGCGTTACTCAAAAAAAATAGCATTCATAGCAAGAAAAGGGAAAGACTGTTCAAGTCCAAAGTATGATTAGCTTCAGAAGGACACAATTCAACAGGGCATTGTTTTTGAAATCTTTATGGTAATTTAGAGCTCACTGAGACAGCTCTTAAAATGTTATCTAGAGACCTTAAACAATGCCCTGAATAGCTTTCTAACCATGATAACAGCAGGTAATGGCAAAAAGGACAGGTGAATGTGATTATAACAAGCTAGGATTAAAGGGAGTAGTAGGGGATTGTTTTGTGGTCATCAGTCATCGGTCATCAGTGTATACAACACATTTTATGGCCACATTTAATTTCTAACTTATTTGTCCTCTTTTCAGGCATTTGTATGGTAAGGTTCAAAACTACCAGCCAAGTGCTCAGTTCAGGCATCGGGTCTGATAGACTTAATTAAGCCAGACATCTCAGTACACATACGTGTGGTCGGCAGCTGTGCATATCTGGAGCGCACTGACTGCTCTCCTGGGTTCTAGGGCTGAAAGATTTGTGTTCAGCTGGACAGCTCAAATCAGATACATTGTTAGACAGTTTGCTGTACTCTGTGCCATGTTAAACAGCACCTTATGTGGGCAGCTTTCTTTCACTTGGTTTCAACACCCAAGTCACCCTTTCATTCCCTTCACTTTTCTGTTGGATTAAGTATTGGTAGATATTCAGCAAACTCGGCATTGGAAGTAGACTACTATGCTGATTTCTTTTTTGCACTAAAAGAAAAACCGCAGGGAATTGTTGGTATCTTCTGTCCTGTCTTTCTGTATTTTCATATCTAAGAATTTATCTATGTACTTTTTTCACCCTTTTAACTGTTTCACAATTGTGGCAATTTATATATATATGATGCATGTTATATACTGTTTATTTGTTGGACTATGCAGTCAGTGCTTCACCTGTTCATTTATTGTTGTCCTGTTGCATTTTGGGAATAATGAATGCCTTTCTGTCACTGTGTTTTACTGATGGTGGATAGCGATGTCCTTTTAAAGTGAGTATAATGTACACTTAGCATATACTGTATGTTATTATTGCTTATTTTTTTATAGATGCTCTGATTTTACAAGCTTGTTCTTTTACATTTTTATTAAATTAACACTATGTGTGTGTGTGTGTGTGTAAGATATAATTAATGTATAGATCTGTAGATAAGAAACTACTCTGTCTCTATTTTAACAACTGCTGAGATAAAAAAAGCTGCAGAGGAAGTGCATGTAGTGCATTGCTTATGAGTCGGCTTACTCACAGACTTGCATTGTGAAACAGAGAATATCAGGACCTGCATGCATAATGAGAAAATATAGCTACCATTATACATAGTTGCCTAATTTTTTAAATATTAAAGGATAATTATACTTTTACATTAAGTACATTTATCCTGGTCAGCCTTGCCTTCCTAATCATAAGTCATATATCGTCCCCATCCCAGGTGCATATTTACCTGATTACCAAGGGTTCTTCCTATGCTTAAAGAAATCTCAATACCACTACTGTTTGTGTTATTTTACCTGACTACATTGATTTATCACTTTACTTTAGTTTACTTTACTCAGCAATAAAATGTTTAGCAATGATTTAGGTAATATTTATAATGGAAGTGATGCAACATTCACTATAATAAGTGACTTTTTTTTTTCTTAGGTGAGGAAGAATGGGCTCTCCCAGAGTATCGGCCAGGAAGAAAGGAAAAGACAAGAGGTATCAATTGTACCATTTAGCTGGGAACAGAAATCTTAACTCCTTCCGGTTTCTTTCAGTTAGAAACTCCGTTAGATGTAAATTAGAACATAGTCCACAACTATAGATGTGATTTTGTGTGGAGACTCTTAAGGGAGTTTGTCGCATATATCGAATACTTACAAAGACCTGTTTTCTATGCAATGTTGTTGCATAGACATTCCCTAAACATTCCCTACCCATATTGTGGCCTTTGCTGTTCTCCGTGACTCCTGATAGCACACTTACAAGCACTACAACAGAATCCATGAGGACAAGAAATTCAAAGGAACTCTGCAAAGCCTAAATAATAATTATACAACATACCCCCAAGCTTTCCAAAGCTAAATAAATAGTTTTAGGTTTGTTTCTTACTTTATTGTTAAAATAGATGCATGAGCAAACATATAGGTACATGGTTGAAATGTTATCTACCTTCTCATTGGACAATGTCAGCAGTGTGATGATGTTGATTTATTGCCAGTGAGCTGGCTGGAGGAGGGGAAAAGAAAACTTGAGTGGGGTATACACGGGTAGATTTTCGAACTATCAAAAAATCCCGTCAGAACATTCGACTTGACAAGATTTGGTGATTGTAGTTCAAAATTTCATTTGATTTTCATTCAACATTTGATGTTGAAATGATTAGCGTTTCCCGACCGAAAACTATAATCCACTGTTAGAATTTCGTTCGATCGAGAAACATTTTCCCACATGCTTTTTCAAATTTTTTCATCACTGCGGTCAAAACGGATCATCGATTTCACCACATCAACGATTAGAAATTATTCTAATGGTTCTGAAATTGGTTTTGTTTGTTAGAAATTGTAACCGTGTACACCCTACTGTAGCAAGGTGCAGATCTGTGCCAGGAAATAGGAGTGTCACCTACCAAGCTATTCATTGTGACATATGTTAAATCACAAGATTGCCTAAATAGAATTACAAATCCTTTAGCAGGTAAAACATTACATGTTTCAATTAAAACTGTGTATTTAACTGTTTGCTTAGAAAGTGATCTGCTTCTAGATGCTAGGTTTCAGGCTATTGCATTCATGGGTTTGTTGCATGTCAGTTTTGTTGCTTTCCTTTTGCAGGCTATATTTGAAGTAATCTCTTCTGAACACTCGTACCTGCTCAGTTTAGAGATCTTAATTCGGATGTTCAAGAATTCCAAGCAACTTAATTCCACTATGACCAAGACAGAAAACCACCATCTCTTTTCCAATATCACTGATGTATGTGAGGCCAGCAAAAAGTAAGCACTCACAAATTCAATAGGGTTTCTTTACTCATTTTTTTCTTTATAAAGTGAGCCGAATTTACAAAAGTGCATTGTGGTACAGAACCAAAGGCCAGAATTTCATCTTTCGTCACTTCATCTGTCACATAGTAAATTTGTTTTTTGATTCAAAAAAAATTGAAAAATATATATATATATATATATTCTGGCCTATTACCTTGGACTGACTCTAATACTTAACCTCTCCCCATTTGAACTCTAAAACATAACCTGCTCCCAAAAAGTCACCCATAACATCTAACACCAAACAACCTAACTCTAAAATGTACTAGACATGTGCACTGCCAAAAAATTCATTTAGTTTCGTTTTAAATTCGGATTTGTGTTATTTCGTTTTTTGGGATTCGGAAGTGAAAGTCAATTCAGATTCGGAATTCGGATTCGGACGAAATTCGTTAGCGGTAGTTCGTTCGACCGTTCGTTTCGTTTTCGTTTCTTATTCGTTTACGATATTCGTAACGAATAAGAAACGAATAAGAAACTAAACTGAAACGAACGGTCGAACGAACTACCACTGCCGAATTTCGGAAACGGAAATTCGGATTCGTTTGCATTCGTTATATCTGTAATTCGGAATTCGGATACATCCGAATGTCCGAATTTCCGAAAATTCGTCCGAATTTCGATTCGGAACGAAACGAATCGCACATGTCTAAAATGTACCACTTGACCTGACTCGACACTTATCCCTTAACTTCAGTCTAACCTTAACCCTAAATCTTTCTGTTAACTAACTATAACATATACGTAACACCTAACCTTAACTCTTAAATGATGGACATTCTGTGTTTTTTCTGGTCATTCCAACATGTGACTTAAATGACACATGATAGATTTACTTTAACACACTCTACAAGGTTTATCTTATGCTTCGTGACACTAATTGCACTTTACAAAATTGATATTGTTCTTATGTTACAAACTTGACTTGACTTGTATAACCACATTGCTGTTTGAAACAAAAATGAAGTCATCTAAATCTCAAGAAGATTGTGTCAGATAACCACTGTGCCTTGTTTGTGCTTTGCTTTAATTTTTACTTTGCAGCACTGGCAATGTTTAGTCAATGGTGGATCTTGACCCAATGACTAAATTTCGAACACATTTAAAATGATGTATCTGCCCGACCCCCCCACCCGCATTACTGCATTAGCTTTCTAAAAAGCTGCTCAATGCTGTCAGCAGCTTATTATTAACTTTGCTACTTCTGTGTTTATTGCATACTCTAAAAGGGGGTGTTGGACTAATCAGAAGTTAGCACTGTGAGGTCATGCCCCTTGTACAGAAGAAAGACTGCCATCATACACCTGAATTGGAGGTATCAAAAGTTGTTGGCGGTGGTGGACTGGTTTTGAAAGACTTTGTATATCGCTTATGTGAAAATAGGTGAGAACTCTAGGAAGTGGTAGATTTGTATGTATGTAAGTAAATGTCTGTGAAGGTTCTCATTCATCCAGGTCATGGTATATATGTAAAAAAATAAATCAATGCAACTAGACTTTTCAACAAAATCTGTTAAACATAACCAGCATGGGGTCAGAGACCTCGTTGATTACATTTGCATTTTTACAGATGTTAATAGTAGCTCCAGTTATGCAAATGCAATCAACACCTTACCTCCACGAGGTCTCTGACCCCATGCTGGTTATGTTTAACAGATTTTGTTGATTGGAGCAACATTCACCATATTTATTTCCAGATAATTTTTGTACAAGTCATTCTGAATTAAGAAAGCTAGTCGGATGACCAGCGAAACGTCTTCAAGAAAAGATTAGCAAGTCTAGTTGCCTTGATTTATGTTTTACAGTTGTAGGTAAGTAAAGCCATGAGGAGTGGGGTGAGTTAAAAGCTAGCAACACTGTGCTGGTGCCAAGCCTGTTTATGCAGGGATTTACTGTATGTATGACACACGTATGGCACAGTGCTTGTACCTAGAAAATATGCTTTAATCACTGTGCCACAATTATGAGTCTTAACAAACATGTATAAACTTCAACACAATATTTTTATTAAAAAAACATGCTTTTCTGCACAGCTTACCTTAACCACTTGCTGTCCACCCGTTGCGTATAAATGGACGGACGTCTCGCTCTTGAGTGCAGGTACCCGTACTTGTGCGGTGATTTTTTTTCTCTGCTCACATGCACCCTCTAGTGTGCGCATGAGCAGTTCACTGTGGAAACACTGGAAATTGGACAGTGACACTCACAAAACAAGGTACAGTGTCAATAAAATTGGCATTGGCTCTGTAACATGTGATCACTGTGACGAATCATAGCTGTCACAGAATGTAAACAATGGCTGCGGTTTGCAGCTTTCTTTCCCTTTCCTCTTTCATCATGAGAGGAGAGATCTCAACATCGATTGCACCCTCCCAATTCACCGCCATATCTGTAACCCTCTCTCACACGCAGCCTCAACTCTCCCTCAGTATTGTGTAATGCACAAGGGTTAGGAGTGTGTAACGCACAGTGTGCAGGGGGTTAGGAGTGCATAACACACAGAGCACAGGGTTAAGGAGTGCAAGAGACAGGGATGACTAATGTGCAGAATGCAGGGCTCTGTGTAGTATTATTGAGTAAGCACAGAATGCAGGACCCAGAATTATTAAATGCAAATAGCAGAGGGGTCAGGAGTGTGTAACGCACTGAGCTCAGGAGTAAGGAATGCACAAGCACAGCGCGTGAGCTGCCACTGTTCCGCAGCTTGTGTGTATTTTCTAAATGTTACGCAAGACTTATTAGATCTTGAAAACGTGCTATTGGGGAAACTAAGTTATGAATAAATGAATTCATGTGTAAGTGTGTTTGCTTACGTTAATATTCTTTTAATCTTTCTACAAGCAGGGGCAAAGCTTAAGTGCCTTGTGTCTGCTATTCTGGAATGGTGTGATCTGCCTGCAGCATTGTAGCCAGACCTAACATATACATATTTTCAGAACAGATTGTTGTAGAACTCTGACCTCTGTAAAATGAGAATTATTTGTCAAGTTCAGGGCTGTACTCTGGCTCACACAATATTAAATACTTTTCATGAACGGTGACTTGTTCCCGATGATTGATATATTGAAAGATGTTACACGGTATACTTTGTAGTACAAGAAAGTGGGTTTGATTTGGATTCAGTTCCTTTTGAAATGTAGTGTTTCCCTTCTGGTAAAAAAGATTTTACAAGTTCTTTGTCATATTTTTTGATGAATAGTGAAGAAGCTTGGGTGTTGGCAGCAAAATGAAAATTGTTCCAGAATGATATTGTTGCTATTTCTCACTTGGTGTTATGTGCATCCTCCTTTCGATAGGAATGTATAATTATATGTTACTGGAAGTCTGCCAGCGCTTTTTCTTTTTTTATATATAAATAAAGCTTTCTGATGGACTTGTATTAAAGAATCCATGTTGACAGCAGATAAATACCAACATGTCTTTAGTTTTTTATTTCACTAATACAAGTTGACCTACAGGCAGAATAAACAAATCATGCAGTTATATAGTCTTTTAAAAAATTGTTACTTTTTTTTATTCCACTACAAGCTAGGCAGGTAAGTGACACCACAATATTCCTTGACACCCTCATGGCTCCCCCTCCTGTCCCAACCCAGATCTGGTCACTTATATTGCATTCTGGTTTCCTCTCTCCTAACTGTCTATGGAGGATTCAGTTATGTGCCCTGTGTCATAAAAGCCCCATGTCCTCCATATTTCCCACTGCCCTCCCCTCTCTTTCACCAGTTCTATAACTCAAATCTACTATCCTCCTTTAGGTTCCAGCCCTGCATAGCTGCTATCCTCTCCAATATTCCACTCAAATTCTTTCTATGTTCTCTTTTATTCACCCTCTACCCCCACCTTCCTTCCAGCCCCCAGCAACATTATCAAACTCTCCTTTTCCTCACACAAATAGTTGATCATGTAGGAAGTGGTGTAATTGGACTACTGGACAGTCATGGGGACTGTAATAGGATATCCATGGACATATAGAGACAGGTGCAGGTCTATTTATTAAGCTCAGCTGCAGTTGAGGTGTAGTTCAGAGGTTGTTGGTAGAAATTGTTAAGACTGAACATTGTCCATTTTGTGGGGTTGGGGGCTTGTACAAGAACATCAAGCCAATCGGATCAGTCTTTTTTTAAACATTTTTTTTTACCATAGGAGGTGGTGTAAGATTTGACTTTTAAAAAGGGAAATGGGTTGTTAGATTAGAAACTGAATTTTTCTAAGGCATTAAAGGGCATTGATTGTATGGAAGCAGCATTGGTAAAGGTTTAATGTAGCAAAGGCCCTCACTGTGCCATTGTTTTAGTATACTTATTCCCACAGATTCTGGGAAATCAGGGTTTTTCCAGACAGATACATGGATATTCAGGAGGCTTTGTGTTCGAATTCTGTGCCAGACAAGCCAGGTGGTATTCAACAGAGGAGTCAGGGCCACCTTCGTGGGTAATAGTACCTTGTGGATATCAAGAATGTACAGTGGGAAATAGTGGGGTAGCATATGCTGTTCAAGACTAGAGTTGTACAGCTGAGGATCTGGTAGGCTTAGTCTTCCATTGCTGGAGGGTTGTTGTAGGGTGTGTAGACTTATGGTTGCTCTTCTATTGCTCCAAACAAACTCCCAGAGCAACTTACATTTTTTTTAGGTTAGCACAGTAGAAGTGCACAGTTATAAGTAACCTATAAATGGTCAAATGGGACCAAGTAGTAAGGGTGGTTTTGAGAAAGTATAGTAAACTCTAAATGTTGTGTTTTTGTAAAGTTTGCCCTAAGTAGCGATTACCCCAGGTTGGTCTGCCCCAGGTAGCGATTGCCCCAGGTTGGTTTAGTACACTTGGGTAGAGTACTTTTACAGGTCATCATTTTGGCGTTAACTGTAAGTGATGGCCCTAGAATGATTGCTCTCACTCTGGTGTGTGTGTGTGTGTGTGTGTGTGTGCAGTAATGCCCAACATGTGTGACACA